GTCTAAATAAACTATATTTAAAGAACAATAACCTATCTGATTGTCTTGTAGTTCTACAGCACATCACAAAGGCATGCATGTTGATATTAAATACAGAACTCCAGCATTAGCAGGTAAATAGCACTGCTGTTGTGATATTCAAGCTCTAGTTGTTTTACACACATTTAAAATATAACCGCAGCCACATTATGTTGTGATGTAAACAGATTTAAATATCAAGTGGCTCGATACTGCATATGTCCACTAGAGGGCAGGGACGAGCTTTGTTGTGAGTAAATGAAGCTATGTATTAATGAAGGCCCAGGTTCTTTTCATTTCCCTTATCGGATGTTTCATTCAGAAGGACACCTATTTATGCAGGCCTAATCGCACTAGGATGCATGTTAGTGTATGTGTATACACAGACTGCCTTTCTGCTAGTGTGACTGGGGATCTTGTTCTGTATTATTTTATTGTTTGTATCCATCTTTTGTATATATTTTTTTCCACTTGCATCCATAACTCTGTGTTTGTGTTCACTCCTAAGACATCCATTTTCACAGGAGGACATCATCGGCCTGGAAGACACCGAGCTATTAGTCAAAGAGGCCGTCGTCTATCCCATTAAAGTACGGCCTCTGCCTGGGCACGCTGGTATTTCAGCTCCGGTCGCCCGTCTTCGATTCTGAATACATCTCCTTTAAAGGGCTTAAAGAGAAGGAGGGCAGCAGGGTCAGGCCAGTCTGTTAGGCTGACATTAAATCTATATCTGGGATAATATGGTAACACACACATACACAGATGGATAGAGGGAGGACGGGACATCAGAGTGGATATACAGTATATAATATAAACACACACACATACAGGCTATGATATGTAGAACATGTATAAAAAGTATGCACTTCCACACACTCTCACACACATTTGAAGTAAAACAAGCAAACACACACCCACCTGAAATACATACACGCTTCTATCATCATCACCTGGGCCTTTCTCATGGATATGATGACAACAAATCAGGTTGTCTGCATCCTCTTGACATTTACAGACGGAGATGAGGACTGATGTGTCTATCCCCTATTCCGCTGGCCTGTTTTATTGAATAACACCATCTGTTCATGCAGCATCCCTCCACCTACCCACAATCCCTAACCTCATCTCTATTTTTATTAACTCTCTGGAGTATATAAGGTCAGTTTTGTGATTTCACTCAGCTTGTGTTTACCACCATAAATAACCCATATTGTTTATTTGTTTGTATGATTTGTTTTTCAGAACGACAACATCTGTGATGGAGCACATACTGCCATTAGAAGTCACTGAGATGTAATACACACTGGGATTATAGCCTTCTGGGTTGAGTGGTGCTGAAAACCACTGTATGACTTTTAAGGCCCAGTACAGGTGAGTTCTTTGCAATTGATCTTGATTAAGTGTGCATGTAGAAACAGGTAATAAACCAGGCTTGTATCATTTTCCTTCAAAAACATTTATTTCCTCTGGCACTGTCAGTTTTCAGCTTTACCTTACAGTAAATTGCACATTTCGAGCTTTTAAGGGTTTTTTTTGCCATCCATCCATGAGACCATGCTGTTACTGATGCATTTAAACCAATTACCTCCAGTGTAGGGTAGTAGAGTATAATACAGTATAATTAAATCCCATATAAACACTATATGTTACTCTGCTGGTTCAGGCATCAGTCTGAAAATAAGGCTTTTTCATCTGAAAAAGGTTGAAACTAGGAGTTGGTGGATTCAGCAGCAGTTTACTTGTGCAGTACAATTCCAAGTAAAATACACAAATGATAACTCTCAATGACAATGTTTTTTCTGCTCAATGTTATTCTACAATGTAGAGGCAGAAGCATGTAGATAGTGTTTTGTTTTTGCCCTGTTGGGCTAGTGCAAAGTTCCAGACAATGAACGCAGGCTGAGACCACTGTAGCCAAGTAGTCTCACTTACTCAGAGCACAAAATGATTCAAGTTTCTCTCTGCAGTTACATTTTCAAAATGATTGTACCAACTCTATTTAAGCTCTTAAAGCTCTCTGAAATATTTCAGATGCAGTTTACAAATTCAGTCCATCCCATTAAATGAATTAATGAGATGTGTACATTACAGTATAACACGTCAGAGGTCTAAAGTACAGAACAGCAGTGCTTTCCTTCCATCTACTTAGCCACATAGAATTACATTTCAAAAGGCCCCCCTAAATTTCTCCAAAGACATATCTGTGGATGTTTACCAGCACCACAGTGTGTACAGTATGCGGTGTACATTTTGTACTTTATAGTTTGAAAATAATTTGTATGGCTACAAATGTGATTAGATTTAATGAATAAACCTCTGCCAAAAATGACTGAACCCTTACACATTAAGCCTGTACTTCTTGATGTTGGTTTCTGTGAATGGTTTAAGTTAGATCTTCGTTAAGAACCTCGTTTACTTAGAGTCCACATGCATATAAATATGGAATAGGTATTTACTAAGAAAATAGTGCTTTTGGCTTTGCTTTATATAATTCAATCTTTTTTTCTAAAGCCAAATTGCATTGCATATTTGTTTTTAATGTAATTCCTTGATCCCTACAATTGACGGTCAACACCAAGTTTTCATATCACAGCTTCAGCATTTTAATAGTCAGTATTTATTTTTATAAGTGGTTGGTTGCTAAAAGAGTCAATACTCAAAAGCCTGGTAACAAATTATTTCCAGAAGAATCTCAGATTTGGCAAGACTGTAAACTACCTGTGAAAACCGCCGATGAGGCTCAATTCCTTAAGCCAGATCCTATAAAAATACGGACGCCATGTTTTATGGGTACTTAAGACCTCACTAACTGTGTCGGCAGTTTGAGCTCTCACTGTGTAGAGGGCGGCGGGCTACGTCTTGATTCAGAATGACATTTTCTTGGGTGTTAGTATTTTAGTGAGCGGTACAGCCTTTAAGTCAGTGGTAAATGTTGCACTGCTGTTGATGCAGTTTCATGTCACAGGGTAAAAGTGAAAGAGACTCAAACACTTTCTTTTGGACTGTGTTAATGAGGGACTGATCAACTATAACTGATGCAAATTTGAAGTGTCTACAAGTCCAGGTACAAATATGTGAACTTTAAGTGATCTAGCACAGGTGTTTACCCAAATGCTAGATTTTTGTGGTCCGGGGTAAAATGGCTTGCGGTGACAGGGAGAACTTTTGATGTTTACTGTCCTTGCACGGGGGATCCGAGGCCTCGACCGTGCCTCAGAAAACTCCGGCCTCTGTGAGTAGTGTACCAGCCTCGAGCAGCAGACCCTTGACGTAGACGCGTACGGTGTAGAACATTGTGAGGAAGTCCTGTGTGCTGAACAGTGTGTCTGCCAGAGCGAACCCCAGCGTGGAGGGGATAAAACCTTGGCCGTACTCCACCATCCACGTCCCGGCGCTCCACTGGACCGACGTGGCCTCGCCTACACTGTGTACGATGGTGTCACCTGTGGGGAAAGATGATTTGTTGGTCAAAACCCCCACTAGTTCATTCAAGTACGTTTACCTCATTCATTTAAGATATACAGAAAACCATTCCTATAACAGCATAAATTTGCAGATTCAAATGTGTTACCGGGGTAGTATATTTCACTCTTTGTTGTCCCCTCCTTCCACTGTCTGAAGGTGCCGGATATGATGGTGTCAGAAATCTCAGCCCAGTAACGACCTGACAGAACAAGAGAGCAGAGATGGAGTCAAATTTATTTTGTTTCCTACACAGATTGATCACCAAATGCTAAGTTATCACAAGGAACACAAAAACGGCTCCCAAGTATTTATGTGACATGTAGAATACGTAATCACGTACTTCATATTTTGTGTTATTTAGATGGTTCTTTTCTTTCATCAAACGTCTCTAACAACTCAAATATTAACACTGTTGGGACTGATCTTTTCCCATATTGCAGGCCGTTATTCCTCACCTGAGTGTCCTCCTGTGTCCACTGCAGTACCAAACAGCAACAGGTACTCTGTGAGCGAGGCATGGAGGAGACACATGGAGCCCATCCAACCTCCGGCGTTCACAAACACCCACTGCAGGTCCTCGTCTGGCAGGATGTGGCCAGGATACCTACAGTTACACTTTATTAGCTGTTTTTTTAAGAAACACACACCACAACGTAAAACCCTGACCTCATAAAACACACATACATCAGACAAGTTACTGAAAAAAAAAACTGTCTGAACATGGGTCAATCACAATTCTAAAAGTTGATTTGTCACTTTTTTTTTTCCCCTTTATTGGATATAGGACAGCCAGAGATTGACAGGAAAGGGGGGGGGGAGAGGGGGGTGACACGGTGCACAGGGCCACAGGTCGGATTCAAACCCATGGCCGCTGCAGTAAGGTACAGCCTTGGTACATGTGTCCCTGATACAAAATAATGTAATCATTACCTCTTCCTGAGCTCCACCACCACTTTGGAGAAGGCCTGCTCATGGTCCTGTCCTGAGATTGGAGACATTTACAGTATTTAAGGAAGGCAGGGAGGAGGACTACTTGGGCCACGAACAACCGTGTAGATTTACTTCAAACTGCATTTGAGTGAAGTGCAGGTTGGTCTCCACTCGATTTAGACGTAAAACTCTTCATCACCAAACTCACCTGCGTACTGTTTGGCCAATTTGGCGATGTCTTCTTTGTTGAAAACGTACTGCTTGGTGGCCATCCACTGCCGCAGCAGCAGCACGGCCAGGACGGAGACTGCGCTGAACACAAACACTTTAAAAAAGCTTTTGGCTACAGACATGGTTAACACTAAACTAAACAGACAGAGACACAGCAGCGGGTTTGGACTACACGTGGAAAAAGAGGCAGACAGGTTGCTCCAAACACGCCATCAGCAGAGGAGGCGTGGGGTCCAAACGACAGCTTCTTCCTGGTCAGGTGGGGGGGCGGGGAAGGGCTGCTCAGCCAATCAGAGGACGAGGCACTCGCATAAGGCGACAGCAATTTCAGGGTTGCCAGCATAGTGTAAAACCCCCCTTTAGGTTGTTTTTGTTTATTTTGCATAGTTTATATAAAAATAGTTACTCACAAAGATACATTTTGAGAAGCTCTGTTAACTGTGATCATAGTATTATTATTCGGTCGTTTACGCTCTTATTTTCTTACTTTCAGAGCTTTGTTATCACATGCTGATTTATCCGTGAGAGCAAGTTTGTGCTCTGTTGTAAAAAAAAAACAGGAAGTAGGTTGTCTGTGGAGGAGCTGATGGTTCAGTGACTTTACACCAGAGGTTCCCAAACAAGACTGACCGACATGAGCGGCACAAAGGAAGTCACTTTTGATCCGAAAGGTACGGAGCGTTGTGAACTTCATAAAGTTTACAGCTGGTTCCATTCATCCGGGAACTGTAGCTGTGTTGTTGACGTCTTTGCAGAGAAATAATTCCAAGTTAAAAACCACTTACCTTTTCTTGCTAAACGGACAGTATTTACAAGTGTCCAAATAGGATACACTATTGAACTTCCCCTGGATTTAGCACACTATTGCTATCGTCAGCTAACTGTGTCCATTATGTCACCTGCTACTGTAAACGCTTGCAATGAACGTTGATCGATTTATCAAACCAACGTGACCCTTCGTGGATTATTTACCAGCCGAATTTACTTGTAGGTTCTAGAAATCTATGAAATGTCGTAAAAAATGTATTCTACGTCGAAGCGGGCTTTTCCGATATTAGAAAGACCTTAAATTAACACATTTTTCAATGGAGTTTGTTCACATTGAATTTCCCTGTAAAATAAAACCTATAGGTTAGCTGAAATCAATATGTTAATGTGAAATCAGTAAACCCAGGACAGTGATGATGATGATAATGATGAAGCTTATTTGTCAGGCCTGTATTGGCAGTGTGCTTATTGCTCTACAGTCTCGTGACATGAGTTCCTTCTGTTTTTACTGCTGCTGGTTGCAGCACCATCCCCTAGAATCCACAGCTATACCTTCATCCTCTGTGCCCGAGTGCTTTTGGGTGGGTTTAGGTGTTTGTTGCTCATGTGTAGTAACTATAGCATTATATTTTTAGCCATTTTTTTAATAGACTAAAGTATGTATTCTTTAAAAAAGGGAGCATTAGCTGCATCCTTGCTTAGTAACATCCAATAAGACACATCAACACTGACCTCTACTTCAGTGGTTCCCAAACTTTTACATTAAGGGACCCCTTTTCTATCATTGAGTAAACTGCAGACCAGCATATTTTTGGGATATTTCATATTATATTTAATACAATAACAGTAGAGAACAACTGGTGAACTGTACAATGAACCCAAATGGTGAACACAATAACTGCAGGAAGTTTGTGTAAATCATGAGATTGGATGAATTTTGAGTAGATTATTTATTTCCTGTGAATATGGGTTTTCCTGATATTTTTAAGAACTTTTTATACAATCCTCTGTCTGTGTTATGTATTCTTTTTTGGACAAATTTAGTGTTTTCTTGACGCCAAGTCACTGTTCCATTATCTCTTTGGTAGTTTGATAAACATTAGAAAAGTATGCAGTTCAGAGAGTGAAGGCTCTGTGAATGCAGCTTTTGTTCAGGTCTTTAAAGTTTAGATCTTAAATAATACTCTTAACTTTAGTATTTTAGTATTAGTTATAGTTTTCTTCACAGAAATTAACAAAATGCTGAAATGTAGGCCTACTGTGTATACTTTTTAAATTTGCTTACACCCCTTAAAATCAAGAGTGTCTTGTGACCCCCCCCTGTCAAGCTTTGACCCCTAGTGGTGGTCCCTACCTCCAGGTTGGGAACCACTGCACTAGTTGTTAACGCTACAGATAAAGGGGATAAAGTAACCAGTTCATCAGTATGACTTATGTGCACATTCACATGATTAGATTGGTCACTTTTTGGCTCTCACGAGAACCAGCCCTGTCTGTAAGTGTGGGTTTGTATAATACGTCGCCTTGTCTTTTGTCTCCGAAACCCCTCAGAACATCAGCATCTGCGTTACAATCCTCTGAGGGACACCTGGGTCCTTGTGTCGGCCCACCGCATGAAGAGACCCTGGGCAGGTCAAGTAGAAAAACCTCCTGAGGAACACATACCCAGATATGACCCCCGCAACCCACTCTGTCCCGGGAACACGCGTGCAAATGGCGAGGTAAGAACAGGTAAATACATTAATTGAACAGATGCAGGCATGGGCCTACATAACAATGACAGCAAATGGGAGCTTGTTTGTTCATGGTGTCTTTTGAACTCTGGAACATTTAAATTGGTCTCCCAGCCTTTCAGACATAGTATTTACTACTTTTCTCAATGTAACAACTAAAGAGATACCAAAGCTACCAAACAACATAGGTCAAAATACATTCTCTTTTATACCTCTGTGTCTGTATGCTTCTCTCCAGGTAAATTCAGACTATGACAGCACTTTTATTTTTGAAAATGACTTCCCCGCTCTGCAGCCAGATGCTCCAGATCCTGGTGAGTACCATACTGTAACAATACTGTATGAAGTCATTACATTCAGGGGTTAAATTGTGATTTATTATGTGTGTGTGTGTGTGTGTGTGTGTGTGTGTGTGTGTGTGTGTGTGTGTGTGTGTGTGTTTTGTTTGAATTATTAAGACAGAAAAGATTAATAATTTTCCATGGCACAAAATATTTTATTTTAGAGATACTGTCTTGGCACAATAAACTCTTCAATCGTGACTAATAGTGGATCAATGTACTTGTGCCTAAAATGACAAAGAAAATTAATTGTTGAAAGTGTAACACATATTATACAACATATTGAATTTTAAAACAACTTACATTTGCTGTTTTGTTCTTCAGGTTCAGATCAACATCCATTGTTCCAGTCTAAAGCTGCCAGGGGCATCTGGTAAGAACAATGCTTTATGTCACATATTACAGGCAAAATCAATATGTGCCTTCTTACTGTGTGAAGGTTTTACCGTTATGTGTAAAGTATGTGTAATTATTATTATTTGGATTGATGGACCCCCCTATGTGTAATATATTGGAACATGCCAAGGGACTGAAGATTTAATGCTAAACTAAATCTGCTCCAATACATCAAATAGCAACATTTATGTTCGATATTGTACCTGCTCCTTTACCCGTAAAATACAATACTACAATGAGATCAATATTAAACACATAATATAAATGAACATGTGGTTGGAAGGTTAGAATTTGTTCAGGGATGCATCTTAATCAGTGTTCCTTTTTAAAAATGATGATGCATTCAAATTTATGACTAATTAAATCTGAACTGATGAGTGCAATCAGAGCAGTCATGCTGAGGCAACTCTCATTCATTGTTATGATCATCATCATCCTAATCAGCTATTAGGGGAAGCTAATTTTGTTAATCAACGCGCTGCATGCCACCTGTTTTCAGGACATCTTGAACTATGGAAAACAAAATCACAAATCCACACCACACACACACACACACACACACACACACACACACACACACACACACACACACACAGACTAAGATGTGTGTATCTTCTGTGACGCCAACAGATGAGGATGTTTCTCACCACTCCTTTTTATAGGAACTGGATGCTTGAACGTTATGATGACATGGATTTCAGTCCAGTGTTATTCATCCCAGTCCCTTTGTGATAGTAAATAGGGGATGAGAGCTTTCCCTGTGGCCAAAGCTTGCTTATTTTTGGAAGTATCTTCTATTCAGACATAAAATGTGAACCAGTTTTCCGATCTGTAGGCATTGACTGTTGGATTTATTTCCTGTCAAAGTCAGTGGATGGGCTGAAGAGCCAAACACGAGAGCTAATCCTTGTTAGCGCGCACTTACATACAAAGTAGCGTAGTATTTACGGCGTCCACTGAAACCTAAGATGCACACAACCTTTGCTTATAACGTTTTCTTTTTCTTGAAGCTTACATGACTCCTTTCTGTGCCGTGGATCAATAAGTGAAGCTTCATGACATGTGCAACCCACTCACATTTCATATTATATCAAAGATATATGGTTTGTCAGTCTATAGATAACAGTTGTTTTGTTTTTTTTGTATCTTGAAAGACGCTCATCAACAATCCCACATTTCGCGAATCCTTGGATGATTCTGCCTGGCAGCAGAGTTACACAACAACTGAATAATAGATTAAATCAAAACACTGCTGTATGTGCTGGTTGAGAACCGAGCTCAGAGTTTAAATCCCATGTGTTGGCAGATGTTGAGGCTGTCAGTTTTTTCTTTCCAGAGACACTCATAAAGTAATGAAGCAGAGAAACAGCACTGATTGGCGTGTTGCTTTATCTTTGTGTTGATTGTTAAATTTCACTCTATTTTTCTTCCACACAGATTCAGTCTGTGAGTGTTTTTCTTTTTATGTTGTAGTGGTTGTATGCACGTTCGATCAGTGCAATTTTTATTGTTTGTGGTCAACACAGTCTCATGGTCATGTCAGAGAAAGTGCTTACCCTGAAGCACAATTCAGAGATCCAATTAGAGGAAAAACTAAATGGGAAGTGAGATTTTGGGGATTCGGGTCATGGGAGACAAAAATGGGGAGAAATGGGGTGAGGGAAGAGTTGATAAAATTCCTAATGACTTATTATTGTATCACCCTTTCTCATACATTCCCTCTCAGCAGAATGGTCCTAAATTCTGTTGCAAAAGATTTGACAACACTTTATTGTACAGCCCTGATATAATTACCTTGAAAGGAACTGTTCCGAAGATTTGCCCTGGATATGACTGACAAACAAAAATTGAATGAATGTTTGTCTTTCTGAATTTTAACAACGTGAAATCATGCAATTCACAAAAACAATAATTTATTCTTTTAATGGATCCGTAATGTTTTTCCAGTCATTCAAATTTAAGTAGTTTAAAGGAAATTTTCTCTGGAACTCAACAACTGCTTCTAATTTGTAATTCACTGTGTAAGCTAGCTCTTATATAATTCCTGCTTCTTTGAAATTCTTCTTAAATAAATGAATAGGTTCTCTGTGTACTGCTCATAACACTACTTAGTACACTCCATTTGTCTTATTGTTAGGGAGGCACGATATGGATTTATTTTCAGCCGATATGATAACCCATAATTCCCTGCTTCTCATGGCCGATATGATAAGATAACCAATTATTTTGCTCCTCTGTATTTTAAAAAGAAGTTAATAACCTGTAGTTTTTACACAATTTAATGTTTTATATCTCTGTTCTAACCAAATCTAACTGACATCACATTTGATAACACAACAGTAAACAAAAAGTTCTGACTTCAAATGGTAATTTATTTTTCTAGTAATGTTCATCATAAAACATCACAAACATACTTTGTCTGTCATAGAACATAAAGTCTATCAATTGTTTTCGAATTCCAAATAAATTATTATTAATATCAACCAACGATTTATCGGCTGGCATTTAATTATCCAGCTCATTTATAAGAAGGAATATATATATAATTTATATGTCCTGATAATTATTGTGCATCCCTACTTATTGTCACACCAAAATACATACTTCTTTTTAAAAAAAAACTTAGTTTACAAGAAGCTCAGTTAGTATGAAATTAGTCTTTAAGACATTTTTCAACCCACACTGATAAAACTAATACAACAAGGCATTTTTAGTGCGTGTTGGAGGTCTGCTTGCACGCACACACACAACACACACACACACACACACACACACACACACACACACACACACACACACACACACACACACACACACACACACACACACTGGAGTGCCGGGAGCTCATAATACTCATGAACAATTCATAAATACGACCACTGGTTTTGCTCAGAGCATAAACACCAAAGTCTTGTTCAATTATTGATCAGGTACTAGCTGCTCAGGCCCTAAGAAGAGTGTCTGTCAATACAAGTTTCATTTTTCTGATTCTGACTGTCGCGCTGGTATCCCCTGGGTACGATAGGTAAGGCTGAGAGAAAACCTATACATGGACATGGTATCCTCTTAAACACATACACAAACACAGACTGAGGACTTAGACTAACTACACACACTTCTAAACTCTGTATAAAGTGGTTAAAACATAATGACATGGTCATGTTTTTATTTTAGTTTTTTTTTTTCTAGCACAAAATGTTCAGATACCATGATGGATATCTTGAGTAGAAGCTCTGTCCTCAAAAACTGGATGTTCTGACCCCGGATATGTGTCACATGTTCTCAAATCAGTCAGTCAATCCCAGCCTGTCATCTTTCCAATTAATGTAAAAAATATCAGAAGTCTTCTTTTTGCCCATTAAACCCCCCTTTTGGAATGTAAAGCACTATATTGTATTGTTGTTTTTGTTGCACTAACGAGGATGAACTTTTTAACTAACCACTCCATTGATATTTAAAATGATTTAAGGGAAGGCAATAATATAACTGAATTAAATACATTTCACAGGATCAGAATAATGAATTTCAGCCCATGAAAGTAATTTAGGTTAATACTGAAGTTTGGTCAAAATTGTCTGTGATAGTATTTGAGAGCAAAAACATGAATCCGAATCTGCAAGTTGTTACGCTTGCAACCATTTTTCAATTTAAAAAGCCCCACTAAGAAGATCCTCAACCAAAGGTTCAAAGAAAAGATGTCAAAGAATACATGGAGCTATTTTTGATAAGTAGTCTCTAGGAACCTTACAGAGCATCACTTTTACTTTATTAACCAGGCCAGTCCTAAGTACAGTAGACCACGGCCATTTTTTTAATGTATTTTATGGAAAACCCAGGCAAGACAGCAGCTGCAAATTCATGACTTATTAATGACATCCAGAACAACCACATGAAACGTCATAATAAATAATAAAGAAATATAGAAAGAACAAAGACAACGTGAGAAGTGGAGAATTAACTTCTTTTGAAAAGAGTTTTTTTTTTTTTGGATCAGTGCAAGACTAAAACGTTTCACACTTACAGATGCTACTGTCAAAGTGCCAAGAAGCACTGAACCCCCAATTTTACTTTTTTGGGGGGTTTAGCAACACAGGAACAGCAATGCTAGTAGCATGACTCTAGGTATGTTGATCTCCTGCAGACTAAAATACTATAACTATTGACCATTAGATATGGTAAAGACATTCATGTTCCCTGTGAGATGAATTGTAAAAGCTTTGCATTGATTCTGTGACTTGTCATCTAGCACCACTATTTGATCAAAATTTTATTTTAATTGTATTGAATTTTACTCATTACATATTATATATTATAAAACATTACATAACAGTTTTTGAATAAAGTGCATCAGAAAACATTTATACAGTGGATACAGCCGGGGAGTCCAAAGGAGTTCAATGTCTATAAAGTGCTGTATTATAAGTCCAGAATGTTCCATGGGAGGTGGTGATTTTTGTCCAGGGTTTTCCTCCTCCAGAGTTCAGAGATTATTTGTTTAGTTTGGCTTTAGTGCTAATCAGTATGCTAACACACTTAACTAAGATGGTGATTGTGGTTGTCATATAAAGCATGCAGTTTTTTTTAATCCAGTGTTGCTAACTCTCTTTCAAAAATACTATAGTGGAATATCAGACAAAAGCTTGCTAAATACACTGCTACTGTCAGTGCTTTCAACCCTTTTGAACTCTCAAGAAGGAGATATTTCAATTCAGTTCTGACACGCTCAACATATTTTGACCAGTACATGGGAATTCTTTGATTCACTGTGTATCTCAAATGATATGGTGGTATTATTACACATCTAACATCTCTCCTGCCACCCTCTCTGTCTCTTTCATCATCTCTTTTTTTCAGTAAGGTCATGTGTTTCCATCCTTGGTCTGACGTCACGCTCCCTCTTATGAAAAAACATGAGGTTCTCAAGGTAATTGACAAGTGGGCAGGGCTTGTTGAAGAACTAGGAACCAAATACCCCTGGGTTCAGGTATGGGATGTGCATGCACACACACATGCACACGCACACACACACACACACACACACACACACACACACACACACACACACACACACACACACACACACACACACGCTCCTCTCACATTCACACACACACACACACATTATCGATGTAATTTCTCCCAGGGCTGGATACCTGTAAAATTGTAACAGGTAATCTTTCCACCCTGCGCTCCGGCGTCACTGATCATTTCGTTTTCTGCTCTTTCCAATTTTTCATTTTAATGTGTCTTGTATTGGATTGGATAAAACTTTAATGATGCCTCTGGGCAAACTCGCAAATTCAAACAGCAGCAGCAGCAGCAGAGAGAGAAGGATATGAATAAGATAAGATGTCAAAGCAATTAAATTCTTCCTATATCACTTGCTGAATATTACAGCAAATAAAGACACTGTGTTTTTGTTGATAGATTCACAGGTTAGAAGATGATGTACATCTTTACTGGTTATGGTACATCATTAGATAATATAGCTGGAAAGACATTCTCACTGCATCTGGAAAAAAAAAGTCACTGCTTTTTTTATTTGTTCAGTGTGTCAACTGGCACCCACATAAGCTATTGCTATGACTACTAGACACCTCATGTTCTGCACTTCTGACCCATCCCCACCCTGTTACCCTAGTGGGTTGATAGATGTTGGATAGCTTATGGCATTGCATCTTTTGAAGTGTCCTAGAAGAAGGCACTGAATCACCTGGGATCCCTAAAAATGAACTATGAATAGACCAGTGTATTAACTACCAAATATCAGCACCAAGGACAGCGCCATTGTCCCAGATTAGTCCGCTCATCGGTTCCTCCTGAGACAATCTTGTTTTAGTCACCTGCATCAACAATGGTTTGCTGTGTTCAGTCCTTGAAAGAGACCTGTCCTCTTTGACCTTTGACTTCTTAAGGAAAACAGACTTTCCTTTAGGTCACAGCCCAGTGCTGACATCAATGTACCACCAAAAGGTTCTTCCTTTCTTCTGTTCTTATCACTGTGGTCATTTTTGCTTTGCCCGTGTTTGCTGTCTGTACAAGTGAAAGTACAGGCAAATTCACTTTTCCTATTATTTTCTGTTTTTAGATCTTTGAGAATAAAGGAGCTATGATGGGTTGTTCAAATCCACATCCTCATTGCCAGGTAGGACATGCACACATGTACACGTATATATGAAAAAGGTATTCATTTGACTGACCTTCTGTGAACAAATGTGTAAACATTGAGGGATTTCCACTACATCTATAAATGAAATGTCCTTGAAGAAAGAATATGAAGTTCAGTACTACATAAATTGACACACATACACAAGCCACTTCTTTCAATACAGCTACTTTCAAGGTGCAGCATTAACATCAAATAACAAATGCTTTTATCACACGGACACAATACAATTTGTGTCAGTTGTCCAATTTGCACGTCTTAGATGCTGGCTTTTCAGATCCAGACAAGTCTCAGCATAGAAGCTGTTAATTGACTCTTCATTTAGAAATTACCAATGACTGTGTGCCTTTGCCATATTTTATGTAAAGTGCACATTTGTCTATCATTTATTTCCTTTTCTGATTAAAAAAAAAAACACATTAAACATTTTTTTTTTGTTTGTGTGTGTGTGTGTGTGCAAAAAGACATTATCACGTCTATATTACTGTTTGGGCATTTTCTTGTCTTTTCATGTTTGCCTATTCAGTTGAGTCAGGCAATATTAACCACTCAGAGCGAGAGCTAGAGACAGTCAAACTGTCACTTCGCAGTGTGATGTTGAGAAAGAGAACAATCAGAAGGGAGAATGACAAAAACTGAAGGGACGGTTAGCTTTGGTAGAAATATTACCTGTAAACATTATCAGTATTAATGTGTACAGGTAATATCCCTTCATTCACGCTCCCAGTGGGGAATTCTGTGTAATAAACTATGAGAATATTAAGGACTTAAATCAGTAGTCACATTGAAATGTACATAAAGATTCCTTTAAGAATAGTGAATTATTCACTGCTGTTCAGTACAGCAGCAGTTTCCTCACCTTCTGTGCGTATTATGTGTGTAAAGGAGACTAAACCACTATCAGTAAAAGGCAGAACAAGATGGTCTTAATGACAGTAGAATATCATATTGCTACAAACAATATGTGACATTTGAAATGGGGAAAGTTGCAAATGTTTACTGCCTCTGAGGTGAGGAGAGAATCTCATTAAAGGTGTTATTGAAACTTAAGGGTCCTGCAGCTGATTGCATTAATAAGTTCCTCCTCTCTGGTTTGTCAGTTACATTTTAAATCCTCAGGCTTTTGGAGTAAAATTAATATTTGACTTCCAACAGGCAAGGTAAAAACAAGGGCCTTCTTCAATCTGTGCTGTAATATACAAAATAACAGCAGATGGCAGTGTGTGACCTCAGAATGACATGGTTTTAACACGCTGTAGATGTTCCATGACCAATCTGTCTCCTTGTTGAGGAGTGTTATTTGTTTGTTACTTTAGAAAGTTGCTTTAAAAAACAAAGTCAGATACAACCACTGTGAAAGGAGAAACTTTTTTGATTGAGATGGTTTAAAACCTCTTAATACGTGTATTCAGCTGTTGTCAAAGTCCTGTTTGTAGTTGCTGCCAGATCACAAAAAATATGTGTTTTGTTTTCATATGGTCCAGTATAAAAGAAAGTCAAACCTGGATCCAGGCTTTGATAGAGCTTTTTAAAAGTTTTAGCAGTTTTGTTCCCTTTTCCTACAGTCCAGATTTCCCTTTCTTAAGACATCAAAGTCCAAGAAAAGAGTGTGTGTGTGTGTGTGTGTGTGTGTGTGTGTGTGTGTGTGTGTGTGTGTGTGTGTGTGTGTGTGTGTGTGTGTGTGTGTGTGTGTGTGTGTGTGTGTGTGTGTGTGTGTGTGTGTGTGTGTGTGTGTGTGTGTGTACAGCCAGACAACCCCTCCAGGCCAAAACGTAAGAAGCGAAGATCTAAAACTTTGAAGAATAACGAACAGAAAATGTTAATCATGTTCTGGAGGCAGCGTTGCTTCTGATAACTTTGGTCTCATAGGAGCAGAGCTGTATGTATTTTTATGTAAGTGGAGGAAGGAAAACGTATGCCTCCAGAATAGTAATATCCTTTTTTTTTACGTAAGTAGCACAAACTATATACAGTATGAATTCTGTGAAGTGCTCAGGACATTTCTGACAACATTTGCCTCTCGGGCGCAGATGGGTATTGAGTTCATATTTGCTCCCTAAGTATGTATTTCACTCTTGAAGAGAAACACTTGGAAGATGAAGTTCAAAGGACCAATGGTATCATAATAGCTAATAAGAGTGATACTTTGTGGGAATAGAGCAAATGCTTTCATATATTTACTTTTGTACTTCTCAGAGACCAGGAGAGAAAAGTAAAGATAATACATGAGAGAACAACAATCTGCTGCTGGATAGATGATAGGTCCGTGTATACAAACCACAGGTATACAAATAGACCCACAGCTACAGATGTTGGCAGGCATGCAAATATATCCACACACACTATTATACAGCCTGTAGGCATGCAGATGTACATTATTTACACATATAGTTCACACGTCTGTCTCTTTCTGTATTTCAAGGATCATGATCATAAACATTGTACTCCCTTTAGCCAATACTCAAAGCCATTCATATTAATATTACGCTAAGCTGCTTTTCGCTTGCATTGCAGTAATCTTACCAAGGCCTAAGGCAAAAATGCCAGAAAACATTGATCATTTCCAGCTTTAAAAAAATATTATTTTACGACATTTGCTTTAGCATATTAAGTTTTATTCATTAATCTAAACCCAGGACCATACAGCTATATGACATGTGCCCTAGAGGAAAAGGCCAGCAGGAGGACATTAATAAACTGCCTCAGAATAAAAAAAACAACAATGAATTTCCTGATCAAGAGGAGCCTTTGTACATTTCCTTCATGCAAGTTAATGCAGCTTTTTTCCCCTGTTGCAAAGATGAAAAAACAAAACAAAAGAATTTGTAGGAGCCTATGTCAGTGTGATTCCTGCAGTGCATTCTGGGTGAAAAAATGGAGGAGTGTTTAATCAGAAAACAATTTGCTATGCAGCCTGAAGCAGTGCTGCTTAAAGCAGCAGAGAATGCCTCTGATTATTACTCTGTTCACGTGATGGAATATTATAATTGTAAAAACTGACTCCTGGTGACACAAATATGTAACTCCAGTAAAGCTCTACTGTAATAGGCCTAAAAACTTTCTAAAAATTAGGACAAATAGGCAAAAAATACTCCTTGAAACCAGTTTGCTGACATTCCTAGCCAGGACAATATGCACAAGTAATGAAAAGAAACCAAGAAACTGACTACTGTCAATTATAAACACACAAACAGCTTTGCTCCCCAGTACAGCAACTAATCAATATTCTGGTAAAGGTCTCACTCATCAGAGAATTAATATATATATTGCACACGTTTACACTGTTGAGTTTTGCATTCCTGCCTATGCTTGTGTCCATGTCCTTGTGTTTGGAATGCTACTTATGACAAACCCATTATGTAAATACTACATATTTAAAACCCTAGTAACTTGTTATCTCAGGTAGTGATTTATCATGCAACAGTGAGTCACAAGTCACATGTTCCAGTCATTTAGCGCTGCTTTTACATCCATTAAAATACCATAAAGTGCAAGCATAAAATATCCAAATGTCTGTTGTGACGTTCACTGTTATCCATAAAAAGCTTTCTGAAATGCGGTAGAAGTACATTATGAAGCTACTGTAATTCTACTGCCTAAAAGTGTTTCCCCCAAAGCGTGATTGAAAATTAACTGTAGGGCTATTTGTGGAGGTGTAGTGATGCAGACGAATGTTTTCCACAAATGAAATGACCCGAAGTATCTCGTCTGTTTTAGAGCATCAAATTGCCTGTTATCTCCAGGGATGTTTACTTTTCACTCACAGTTAATACCAACGTCTCATATAGAGTAAATACTGTTTGTAACAAGAAGGACAGTTGGTGGCTGATGAGAGGAAAGTTTCAACAATGTGTTGTCTCAGTCAAAACAGCAGCTTTAAACTTGCAAATCTTCATTTTGAGATGTTATTAATCGTAATCAGGAAGCATCAGCATTATCAGTGAGTGTGTGTATCCGTCTCTGTGAGCACACAGATCACTAAAATGTTTTACAATTGCCACAGCTGAAATTGAACATGACTTTAACTTTATGCATGGCAGTATTTGTATTTGTTTGTATTTGTTGTGTAATGTATTTGTGTAGTTCATTTTTTTCCCCATGTATTTTACGTATCTGGGGCAGTGTAAAACCCCAGTAGCTACATATGAATGTAGCTTTGTAAATGATACCAGTGTTTTTGCATATTTTAGCCTATTTACAACACATTTTATATTCTTAAGATGACTTCTCACTATATCCAAATCACACTATATATTTAAAAAAATACTTTTGTATTTAAAAAAAGAAAGAAAAAATCTATATATTAAATGTGTATGTGTATATTAAATCTATCATTGTAGTTGTATAGTGCACTCATTTGAATGAATTCACACTTTCTGCAGCATTATTACTCAACAGTACCATGATATTGGGAAGCCAGGATAAAGGCACTGTAGTAAGACAGAGGTCAAATATCAGGCCCACCCAGTTCAGCAATGAGTGGGCAGGCAGTAAGTACGGGCCAAAGAGCAGGTCACAGACGGGCAACAGGTCATGACATGAACTGGCCAGCAGGGACAGGAACAGCTGGACCGCTACAGCAAAGTGAGCTGCATAGATGATCTGGCTGAGGGGAGAAGTGGGGGGGGGGCTGATATATATGCTGGGGATTAATGAGAGAAAGTTGTGCAAAGGGAGGCTATATGGCAACAGAGAGGTTGTGAGGCTATTGAGGGAGAGGGTAAGACATGGCAGGTGTCACTGTGGCTGACATGGCTGACTATTTTTAATATGCATCTCTGGACTTTCTGCATGTCATGTACTGACAGTGGCCTTGCAATATAAACAAACAACCCCACAGCTGTCATCAGTGTTTGATTCAAAAGTTGCTCAATCATGATCAAGGAAATACATGACATCACCTCTTTCCAACGGAGCCCCATCCTCTTCAGACCAGGGACCCAAGCACAGACGATACATTTCTAATGTGAAATAACCACAGCTGTCCCACAAATTGTTTTGCTTTTGTGATTTAGAATCCTAATGCTAAGAACTTGATTGAGAAAATACTTTTCCACAGGCTTTAATGCCTGTACATGGAACAAGGCTGATGTGGTTTACTGTGATGAAGTAGCTGTCTCAATTATATTTTCGTCTCTGCAAGTTGATTTTTACACAGTACTGAAATAAATGTAAGCCAGTGGCTGCCTGGGGAAACCCTATTTATCAATCTAAACAGCCTGGATGGAAAAAGGTTAGTTTTGAAACCTAAATAATCTGCACTTGTGAAACATTTATTGATCGAGTGGTATTGATAAATAACCCCATGAAATGATATATTTAATTAGGTCATTTGGAATAAGTGCACAGTTGCCTCTTTAATTTTCTAAACAGAGTTGTACACACATACTGCACACAACTTTTCTAAGGTTTTCGTCTCATCATCATCTTCCTCCATCTTCCTTCTGCTTCCTGTTACATCATAGGTGTGGGCCAGCAACTTCCTGCCTAATGAGCCGGCTCTGTCAGACCGCTGTCAGAGAGCATACTACAAGAAACATGGAGAGCCGCTGCTGCTGCAATACGCCAGACAAGAGGCTGAGAAAAAGGTACAGCTATACACAGTGGTAAACATTCTTGGAATTCATATTGAATAGCACAGAAACTCTCTAATGTATGCATTGGGTGAAGATGTGCAACAATTCTGGGATCGCAGGCTATAGAGGTCATACGCAGTTTGTGGGATTCATTGGCATCTAACAGTGAAGTTGCAGATTACAACTAACGGAACACTGTTTACACACACTATATTTGACGACCTGGGAATGAGAACGGACTGTGAAGTGTGTAGGAGAAACTACGATGGCTGCAAAGAAAGGCCCTGTCTACAGCCAGTGTTTAGTTTGTCCGTTCTGTGCTACTGTACAAACATGGTGTTTCAACATGGCGGACTCCATGGAAGGTGACCCATGGTGTCTAGATAAAAAGGTGATTATATACTAATAAAAATATTATATTCCATTTTGCCAATAGAACCTCCTAAATGTGACACATTGGACATTTAAAATGCATGTTTGACTGAATGGACTGCTTATAATAAACTTCAGAGGAAATCGTTTAATAATGTCTCTAAATACGGGGTGAACAGTGACATCATATTTTTCTCACCACGGCTGCCCTCATCGCCTCTTCCTTCGTCCATCTACTTCCACCTTTTCCCTCTCTTTCTTTTACTTAATCTTTTTCTTTTTTCCCCCCCCATCAGCATCCTCTGCCTGTCTGTCAGTCAGTGAAGCGTGTGATTGGACAGGAGAGACGCTCATTAGCATAATGCTGTGGCATCCATCTTCAACCTGCGTGAAGATTAGGGAAACAGACTCTGTGCGTATGTGTGTGTGTTTAAAAAGAGATTTTAAATGTGTGTTGAACATCAGCAGCAGTAACCATGGAAGACAGGTTCTAACAGAGCACTGAGCACATTAAGCGTGTTGGCAAATGTCTTATTAGTAAGCAGACATTTAGTGGAAACCCTGAATGAACTCTCTACTGGAGAATCAAACTTGACAGAGCCATGACTTTTTTTGTTTTGCTCCCTTAAGCTGTAGAGATAGGGCTCACTTATGATAAAAAAGATTGAATACACTTAATATCATATCCACAGCTAGAACCCTTCTTAAGACTGGTTTCAGTTATGTTTATCCAGTGAAATCAAATGTGCCACCTGTTTAGCTCGTCCTATAATGATTTGAAGTCACCTTGTTTCACCTTTCTCCCCATGTTTTCTTGTGCTGGTGTGATCCAGTGTTGTGCAAGTTTCTGTTTTAGTCCAAATGGGGGGAAAAAGCCTTCATGCCAGTATTTTTTAGCATTTAATTGTAATTTTGTACAAGAGAAAGCCTTGAAAAACAAACTTGCAAAACTATTAAGCCCATTTTCTTTGTTTATTGCATCCAGATTACTTAGTGTTTGTTCAAATGTGTTGACAGTTGTGTCACCAAATTAAAAGTATGAAGTCAGAGATATTTTTTTTCCCAGAAATTAAGACTACAAGCCATAGAAAATGCAGATAGAAACTTTAATTTGTATTTGTTATTTTTTGGTTTGGATAGAATTACTATTTTAACACCATCTCAGAAGTTTGGGCAAAGTAGAGCTGCAACTTATTTTCAGTTTTTCACTTAAGTGGGTCTAATTTCTGCAACTTGTTCATGTTCCCGGGAACAAATCATAGCCATTATTTGTGTTGATTAGCCACTTCACACACAAAACTAAAATCCACTTGGGGTCTATCTTAAGTGGAGGGCATTTCTACTCTTTTCCTACTATTCAATCAAAACTGATTCTTTTGAGTGACTAAAGGAAAATTATTTCATTCATCTTCAAGAGTAGTTGGAGAGGGACAATGGGCTTGATGATAGAGTATAAAATTGACCAAAGGAGTTTGAGCATGAAATAGGACAAGGCGGAAGAAAGAAGTTGAAGAGAGAGGGAGAGGGAACAAAAGGAGCTAGAAGAGTGGACGGAGAGAAGTAAGAAAAGAGACTCAGAGTCCCAGAGAGAGAAATGTTCAGGTAAGAAGGAAAAGAGAAATCAGACAGCCACTGATTCATTCAGGGAATGAGCTGATAGCTGTTCTGCTGGGAGAGTGTGTGTTTGTGTGTGCGTGTCTACGAGAGAGAGACAGAGAGAGGGGGGATAGCATTAAGGTTTCGAGAAGAGCCGAGTAGACACTAGACAGCTGCTCATGGGGACTGACCTTTATAAAATCAGAGTGGAAGCAGAAGTGTGTGTGTGTGTGTGTGTGTGTGTGTGTGTGTGTGTGTGTGTGTGTGTGTGTGTGTGTGTGTGTGTGTGTGTGTGTGTGTGTGTGTGTGTGTGTGTTTTCACGATTGCCTTAAACTACTTGTTCTTGTCTACTAGTGTGTGTGTGTGTGTGTGTAGGTGTGTGTGTGTGTGTATATGTGTGTGTCTTTTTTGCGCCTGTCTCTCTGAGCCGGGGTTAGGACCGTAAATTGGCACACTGCAGTGTTTGGAGGAGTTTGAATTGGGGTTCGGCTCCTTGGCGACACTCTTGACTTTGAAACAAAAACTTTCTAAGCTAATTGAATAATGCTCGCTGGGATTTGCAGTGTGTGAGGTGTCTGTTTTAGGACATCCTCAATGTACCCTCTCTCTCTCTCCCCCCCGCCTTTCTCTCTCTTCACTCCGCTCCTCCTCTCCAAATCCCTCGGTTCTCTCTTATTTTTCTATCTTCATTACGCACCTTTGTAACCATGTCAAAGGAAGCAAACAGTGGAAAACAACAGTGTGAGGAGGGTTGCGAAGGAAGATTTAAGCAGAAAAATTGACAAAAATAGTTTTAGACAAGTATATAGGTAAGAATATAATATGTAAAGTTATTGTTTTTCTATATAATATAAAGTGTTATTGCACCAGGTCGTCGAATCCGATACTGCAAGTACAGTTCATTAAGAGGACTGAACACTTTGGGATCTTGTTATATTAGTCTGTGTTGTCCTCCACAGTTATTAAACACCATGGCATCCCCTGCAGATCCCTTAATTATGCATTAATGCCTGGACAAGTTTGTTCAAACCTTGGGGAGATTTACGGCCTAGGATGCCCTTACACTTTCTGTTTGCTTTGGCGTCTGGTAACTGATAATCAGTTTTAGTTGTTTTTTGTTTTTGTTTTTTTTAATCAGTTTCCATACTATTCATACAGAACAGCAAAACATATACATACTGTATAAATGCAATAAATAACGACTACCTTACCGTATGGCAATTGGAATGACACACTGCACAAATGCTGTTACATATGTAGGGTCTTAAGCTATGACTCAGATGTAGCTGCAGTGAAAAACAGAGAAGTATTGAGTAACTCTGTAGCTTTATGGAGCTTTAGCCTCTTTTAGCTCATTGTTTTGGTTTTATGGCACATATTCTGTATAGTTGTTTTCAGCAAAATAGCTTTGCTAAATCCACTGTACACTACCTGCCCAGCACCGAACAGCAGATAAAGAAAGTTAGCAAATAGCTGATGAATATAATGGAGCATTTAGCTTCGAAAGATATATACATTTATATATATATATATATATATATATTTTTTTTTTTTATCCAAACCAGAGACCAGACCAGAGCTAAAAGAAAAGTAAATATTTGAAACATGAATGCCGATGTTGCTTTCTGTCTGCTGTCTGTGTTAACAGGCTGTTGTTTGCCAACGTCTTGGCCATAGCTACTTTATATGTCTTTCAGGGCTGTGTGTTTTTCAGCTTGCTGTGATGTTCTTCTGCCCCCAAGTGGCCAAAAATCAATTAGTACAGCTTTAAGAACTACCCTGTCCTGACCATCGACCCTGCTGCAAATGGTTGTTTATGCTGAGGTCTTTACACATCGGCATTTCCATTTCAGTTTGTGATCAGACTGAGTTGTGTTAAGAAATATATGTTAACATGCCGTTACTGAAAATCCAATGCAAAGAAAAACATCAGAGTGAGAGATTGTCTGTGTTGTTTTGTGATTAATGTGAAGCTGACTTCCACCAGATTCTTACTGCTGCTGTTTAGCACACACACACACACACACACACACACACACACACACACACACACACACACCTGCACACACACGCTGAGCTAATCTATTTCTGATGGATTGTAATACCAAGGTCAGGTTGTGTTTGTGCCCACTCATCAGCTTGTTAAATCTCAGCTTCTGACACATTCTGCATTTAAACACTTTATGATAATTGGGCTTCTCGCTGCAAACAGCCAATCCTGGCTGACTTGTTTTATCACCATTTTGAACTCAGTTTGTTATGTGAAGGTAAGAGCGTACTCAGTCAAGCTTTTCTCTGTATTTTCTGTAGTATTCCCTGTTTTTATTCATGTCCTTCTGGTCTGAATGCATGGTGTGAGGTGACTTAACGAGCCCAAGCAGTTTGATCAATTTCATGAATTTGTTACTGTCTATTATTTATTTATATAAGTGTGTTCATTATTCACATCATTAAGTATGTGGGTAAATGGCCATTTCATCAGTATGTTAAATCAACATTCAGCTTTAAAACAGCACAGTTCGCAGCACCATACGATAATTACCTGCAACAAACAGCTCGCTCTGTCTATTTTAGGATATCTATCACTAACACGCACATATTAATACCAGAACAAACAAGCAGAGACACATTCATAGCATAGGAAGTGTGAGAGATCTTTGCTGAAAGGATGTCAGAAAAAATAGCAGGTATAAAGAGAGAGAAAAACACACAAAACAACCGAAAAGGAAGAACAAAATAATAAAATGAGAAAAGATGAAATAAGAAGTCACGTAGTAGCAGTTGGTTCTGAGACCAGCAGTCCTTTCTGATTTTTGAGTGAGGTTCACAAGCTCCCATTGATTGTACCAAATTCTGTTTAATTACAAATATGATACGTCTTAATTATATCAGGGGAATATCTGGTTCGCCTTCGCCATCGTAGTTCTTGAGTCATACGGTTGCTCCACAGAAATCTTTTCTCATATCAGTTCAACTTAACACCTGATGTGCATTCATTGCTCCTACTGGGTAATGTACTGCCATGTTAGCCAAGAACCTAATCTACCTTTTAGTGCAGCATAGACCAGGGAAATGATGGTCTGCTACACCTCCTTGAAAAGTACATTTTTACTGGCATTAGATAAAAAAGTTATTGGATATTTCCAACAATATTATTATTATTTTTTTTTAAATGTATGGGGCGGCTGTGGCTCAGAGGTACAGCGTGTCGGCGGCTCGATCCCCACATCCTCTCGCTCCATGTCGAAGTGTCCTTGAGCAAGATACTGAACCCCAAATTGCTCCTGATGATGTGCATCGGTGTATGAATGTATATGGATTATTACTTTTCCTTTCAGTTGGCACCTTGCATGGCAGCCCTGCCATCAGTGTATGAATGTGTGTCGCATTGAGAGGTCGAAAGACTAGAAAGGCGCTATATACAAGTACAGTCCATTTACTATACCTGTTGAAACAAATAGAATGAACCCCAACAGTTGCACCAGGTTAAGTTATGAGGCTGGATTTGTAATTTGCAATATTTTGTTCTTCCACTTTTTCCTACTTTCCTTTCAGCTTTCTGTTAGTGTTTTTGACGGGAAAAACAAATCCTAGTTAAGACTGAAACCTACATACATAATATTGCTTCCCTGCACATTCAACAACTTTTATATTTTGTCTCTTCTCCAGGAGCGTGTGGTGGTGGAGAATTCTGATTGGCTGGCAGTGGTTCCATATTGGGCAACGTGGCCCTATCAGACACTGTTGTTGCCACGACGACATGTCCTTAGAATCACTGACCTGACAACAGGGGAGAGGGAGGGTGAGTCTGTTTGTGTGTGTGTGCGTGCGTGCGTGTGTGTGCGCGCGTGTGTGTGTGCGTGTGTGCGTGTGTGTGTGTGTGTGTGTGTGTGTGTGAGAGAGAAAGTGATAGAAGATACTGACAGAGTGAGTGACTGAGAGAGTGTTAAGGCAATTAAGACTAGTTTTAGGTGACTCGGCGGCTCAGTGGGGCACCTGTAGGTTTGATTCCCTGCCAAGGTGCCTCCTGCGTGCGTGCGTGCGTGTGTGTCATCATCTTCCATGTTCATTCACAGCACATTCAAGCCGAGGGGGGAAACTTTTAATTTTACACCCTCCATGAACCTTGCATGGTGCATGGACTGGTGTTATGGTGATTCCAGATCAACTCTCTGACGCTATTTAAATTAAGAATTAATTACATCCAAGAACGACTCAAAAAAATCCAAAACGGAATCTAACTTATCTATTATTAAATCACATTATTGCCTATAAATGAATATTGTGGAGATTTGCCTCTTTAATTTTCTGTCACCTGCTTCCAATATAGGCCAGTGTTTGAATTATTGGATGTTAATTATAAATTGATGATGAAGCCTGTCTTCATAGCTAACTAATGCTAATTAAAGGTGCTACATTCAAGTTTATAGTGGTTGCATGTATTATCTTCTTGTCAACCCTCCCAATATTTATATAAAACAATGAAATGCTTCAGTGATAGTCGAATAAAATGGTCATTTAAAGTTGTTTACGTTCTTTTTTTCCTAACATTATGGTGTTTAAATGACTCTAGCAGATGTTGTTGTCAGGGAATGAATTTTCTTAAGATCGAGTTGATCTGGTGAGATTACCTACCATTCCCTCTCAAGGATAAACACCGCTGCATCTGCAAATCAACCGAGGGCTCTTCCGGACGACTTTGGTTGACAGTTGAGAGTCTGTTCAGCTGATTGAGCTTGTGTGTGATGAAGGTGTGAAGCCAAAGGCACATAGATAAAAAGGATCAGTGGGATAGGTGTCTGCTGAGACACAGCCCATTACCACTGCTCACACTGAATATAGGAGCCAGAATAACAAACCAAATTTAGCTCCCGCAGTCGGTAGATGCAATGAAAAGGATGAAGGTTACGTCTATACAAACTTCTGATTCGGTGCTTCCAGTCAACTCAACAGGTGGATTTTTTGAGGCTAGCATCTAACGTTGGGATGTTAATAATTATTCCGTTTAGAACAATCAAGTGTGTATTAACCGAATATGGGTAAAATTGCTTATGTATCACTGGGACATATATAAAAAAAACACAGGTATCTTCTGAAAACTATCTGTGCCAGTTTTATGTTTTATTGTGTGTGTGTGTGTGTGTGTGTGTGTGTGTGTGTGTGTGTGTGTGTGTGTGTGTGTGTGTGTGTGTGTGTGTGTGTGTGTGTGTGTTTATGTAACTATGCGCTTTGTTTTTCTGTCTCTGGTTTGTCTGACTTATTCCTCATGTCAGACATTTCTTTTATATTTAATTTTCCCTCAAGATAATAAAACTTTTATCTTCTTTTCAATTTACAGCCAAAAGTTGTACATCCCCCTCTCAGTTTTCTGTTACTTTTTTTTTTGTTTTTAGTCTTACATGCCCTCGATTCAAATCCCCTTCCTCGTGTCATTCATTATTAACAATACTCACTAACAAATGTCTTGTTTCTCCCCCCTGCCCACCTTGCTCCCTGTTTTCTCAGTGTATCTTCCTCTCTTCTGTCTGTCTATCAGGTTTGGCTGACATTATGAAGCGCCTGCTGACCAAGTATGACAATCTGTTTGAAATCTCTTTCCCCTACTCCATGGGCTGGCACGGTAAGACAAAAACTGGGAGAGTTAAAAGAAAAAGTTTTGGTTAGGGGTAACTTTACTGTGATAACCTTTTTAAAGTGTCTTTTGCAGAGTGACAGAAGGAAAAAGGGACAGATGGCGGGAAAGATTAAAGATAATTTTAATCTAAATACATGAACATCTGTGGATGGATTGGTGGATTATGACACAAATACTGCTACAAACTGGAGGCTGTTCACATATGAGGCAGGCTGTAAACTTCTTCATGTAGTCAGTTTGATATGTGAACAGGCTCCTCTCGCAGTAGTCTGAAGGCAGCGGCCTCAACTGTGTCATTATCTGCAAAAGCCAGTCGTGAAATATGTGAAGTGGAGTCTTTTCACAGTCAGACTTCTAATGTACCACAACAGGCGATAAAGAAGAGATGCATTAAAATGCTTTCACACCTTACTTCAAGTTTTTCTTTTCACCCTTCTCACTCTCTTTCTACATTTTCTTTATCCTCCCTCTTCTCCTCCCTTCCCTTGCTCCTTGAAGTCAGCAGTCACTCTGTGTTGTACTGCCAATGTGTGCTGTTGTGCTGTGTCAGATCGATATAATTTTTCCATGAAAGGGTGTTCTCTGCACCCCTTCCAACATCATCTTGTTTTCACGATTGGATGCTAAATCAGTTTCCTTTCGAATATAATTTCACATTAGCTCATGCCCTGCCACCCTCCTACCAAGATGTATGCAAGTGAAGGTGCATTGCGCTTTCCCTACAGGTTAGATAACTCTTGCTGCATTTTAAGTCATCTCAGCTGTAACGAGAAACTCTCAGCTTTGATGTTATCCACTTATTTACCACTTCTATGCACACTCAAGACACATCAGCATGATGTGTTGTCTCTTACATCTCCACCAAGTAAAGCAGGAGTTCTCATAGGTAAAGAGCACTCATGCTTTTACCATCAGTTAAAGCAGCTTGGGGAGACAGAAACACTGTATTGTCTTGTGTTGTGTTGAAAAGCATGGTAGCGGGGGCCCTCCATACTTAAAAGAGAAAGCAACATTTCTTATGCATTCACTGATTTTCTTTTGGCCACTTGGGGCAATGTAACAAGCTGTAAACACAAGATTTGCATATTATCACCTCATAAGGTTGGTTAACAAGTTGTCAGTAGTGTTTAATGGCTTATTTACACATTAGCATCCTTTTGGAATCTCTCCACATGTTCAATATTAATCCAGTATTTACTCTTCGTTAAGCTTTGTTTTTAGTCTCTACCAGTTGGGCGAACTATCTGGCTCTTTAACTGGTAAATGCTCCACTATGCTCAGTAGCTAGTTGTTAACTTTGTCTAGCATTCTGATGCCGGCAACAGCTGTCAAAACAGTTGTTCCTCTTGAGACTCTAGAGCTGAGGGAAATACCTATTATTGTGAGCAATATCAGAGAAACACCTTGCTGTGGGTTCAAACTGGAAGAAAGGTTAGCAGAACGCAGTGATGCGATGAGTGATGTGTGACAGGGGAGAGCAGTGTCATCACGGCTGAGTGGTCAGAGTGATCCTTGTAAAAGCTAAAGGTTTCAGGTTCAATCCCTGCAGCAGTTGTGTCCTGCTGAGAAAAAAAAAAAACTTCACTGCTCACTGACTGGACAGCATTCTGAATAACAATGCATTAACCTGTGAATATCAACACCACAGTGTGGATCTAGATGCACTACCAAGACAACTTGTAAGCATATAGGAAAGTTTTCTCTGACTGACATCTGGTTTAAAATTCTACTTGAGCACAGAAATTGGACAGATTTTTTTAGCCAGACTTTGGCTCTTTTGTTAGTAAAGATGGCCGACTCCTCATCTAGCACCATCATCGGGTAAACATTTTAATTTGCTGTTAATGACCAAATACCTGCAAAACAAATTTCCATCACCTCCAGTTAGCAGATTTTAGCATGCTATTGTCTGAACTGAGATGGGGAACATAGTATAGGCCTACATTATACCTGTTAAACATAATCTTGTTAGCATTGACATTTTGAGCATGTAAGCAAGCTAGAGTTCACTTTTAGCTCAAAGCACAGCTGTCCCTATGTACAGCCTCACAGAGCTGCTAGCATGGTGGTAGACTCTGTCTTGTTCAGACTTAGAATAGCAGGGTTTGCCTGGTTTTTGATTAATTTAGAGAACTTAAATAAATCAAACTAATTATAACTATTTCAACATAGGCCAACAAAAATGAAATATTAATGGGGAAACCTAATCAATAGTCTTGTGGAATTACTTCATCAGGCTGTAAACCTCTTTCACCCCAAGAGCTGATCATTTTAATATCTTTGATTTGATTTACTTCTGTTGTTTTTACCTTTTATTTTTCTTCCTCCAATTCCAAATGATGGGCTTTTTGTGACTCTTTCATCTACCATAAATGAGGTGTATAGTCTGACTAATGAAAACTAACGACGAGGTCGAAACGAATCTCGTTGAATTTAGTCTACAGCTCCATTGTCAGGAAGTAACTAATCAAATTTAATATATTGAAGAGACCATTTTTAAGCCATAATTATATTGTCTTAGATCCATTTCAGAGAATGGAGCACTACAGCTTTGTGAACACTTATCACCTCCACATGTCTGGGGGGGTTTTTTGTTTTGTTTTTTTAGGTTTTTTAGGTTCAAAGCAAGGCAGTCCACATGAAAGATGGTTTATAAAAAGAGAGAGATGATACACTCAAACGTGTGGAGAAAAGGACAGAGGGCACGAGAGGACACAGCTATCGACTCACTTTCTTCTTATTTTATCTGATATCAAATCTTTGAAGTAAAATCTCAGTCCAAAGTTGCCTGTGGTGCAGGCTCCTACAGATCTTGTGTTAAATTTTGCCTTTAATCTTCGAATCTGTTTTATTTCTTAGATAGTGACTAAAACTCAGAGGTCATGTTACAGCAATATGTTGAAGGTCATTGGCAGGTAGTTAGTAGGTTCGTCTTATTTTCTGTGGCAGAGTGGCAGATGTTTTCCCCCATTTTCCTCCTGCCTTGTTGGAAAAAGATCAAAGAGGTAAACACATTTTGAGAAAGTGAAAATTATCTTAAAACAACCAACTAATACAACAAAATGAAGCCTTCATAGTATCTCCATTAACACACTCCCGAAGATGGGGTAATATTCCTCACATTACCTTTTTCACACAACCTGCCTAAATATCCTGTTTCTCGTTATTTAAAACAGTGAAAAGAGCGAGAGGAAAGTGTCGAGAGTGAAAGATGCTGGGCAGAGATGAAGAAGAGGATGCCATAAGAAGAGAGACAGAAGGAAGGAGACAGAGACCAAGAAAGAGAAGCAGCAATGTTAATATTAGCTTTGATATCAAATGTTAAAAGCAATAAGCTGCACCGCTCATGAATCAGCTGTGTTTTCCATTGCTCTTCGTGGTGTTGATAGAACACTTCCAACTGTTTTTTAATTGGCAGAAGAACTTTCAGCTCCCAAAATAATGGTGTTATTTTAACTTCATCAAGGGGGATTAAGGGAAAAGAGACTGCTGAGATTATAATTGATCTGCTGTAGCGCGGTAACACTCATTGTGTGTCTCACACACACACACACACACACACACACACACACACACACACACACACACACACACACACCTGACCACCTAATTTTGGAAACTCTTTTGGAAACGCTGTCATCCACGTGCACGCGCACACAGACCTGTCCCACATAATGAGCTGCATTATCTCCCCATCTGTGTTTGTGCTTTATTTGAGCTCATTTGGAATCAGCCAGCTTTTTATTTAGGGCTTGGCTTATTAGTGGCAGTGTCGAGATAGAAGTGGTTGGATGGTATTTGAGTCACCTGGGAAATTATGGATAAGATAAAGCTACCTGCTTATTCCTTCGGGGGGAAAACACACAACACATTACAGACTGTATTAACTGGCTGGATGACGGACTAGGACGCAGAGAAAGGCAGACAGGAAAAGATACAGATGTAGTAGTAGGGCTACACATTAAAGCATTAATTACACTACACAACATAAAAACTTATAATTGGTAGTCCCCTATCCAGGAATATCTGTGAGTCTATGTTAATATGCTCTCTCTTATATGCTCACACACATGCAGCAGAACAAACACACCCAAAAACAGTTTAAAATTGGGTAATTGTCTACTAATAGGAGCTTCCGTCTCTATTCATTTCTTATCTGGACTGTTTTCTTTGTTCTTCCTTTTTTCTTTTACCACCCATTAGTTCCCTTTATGTCAACCTCCTGTCGTCTCTATCTGTGTCTGATCAACCCCCATTGTCAGGGGACTGACTCTAAAGGAAAAGCTCTTATTGTGAATACAATGTCTCCAGGGATCGATTTGTTTTAATTCCTTTTCTGTTTTTTAAGAGAGATATGTTTCTGCTTCTACTTCTAATCACCTCATTACATTCTGCTAAGATCAGAAAGCAACAGAGGCAACAAAGAAGGTATTTAATGTTAAGTACAGTCACAAACCACTGAAAATGTATCTTTGGTACAGTAATCATCCTCTTTAGAGGATTTAAAGACTTGAATAATAATGGATTTTTTTATGCAGTAATTGGCATTGTAATTATGGAGTAGTTTTGTCAAGTTAGAAAAAAAACTGAATAACCAACCCAGTTGAATACCTCAAGGGGGATTTTGGCACATTTCAACTCACTTTTGCCCTGTTGGTGCTAGTCTAAAATCAGACATTCTCTATCCTCAGATCCTTGAGTTAGAAACTCTGTGTTAGTTGATTTGTGCATCCAGTTGAACCCTATTTAACAGATAATACACAACAAGGTGTATACAAACTGAACTACGCATTGGTAAGTCCTCCACCAAATCCTTTCTTTTATGTATCAGAACACCTCAAAGTATTTCATTTAGTTTTTACCATGGCCACTTACCACAAGCTTTTTGTTTTTCCCTGGTTCGTTGTCAGGCAGTTCAACTTTTGTTTTGGTTCACTTCACCAGTGAGACTTTAACATCACAGCATAACATTGCACGAAGGAGATTTATTGCTTCCATGGTTACCTGCAGTTTATTAAACAGTTGACCAGAAACATACCTGGTGTCCTGTCAGCTGTAACCTGGAAGTATCAAACATGTATGATGTGACGATGGAGCAGCTCAGATCACCCCGGAGGTTGAGAGGCGTGGTTAAGGGTTAGAAAACCCATAACCCATCTGAATAATCTTTGCCAGCCAGCCACCGGTGTGAACAAAGCCTCTGGTTCTGTGTCTCCAGTCTAATGTCTTCCTCTTTTTATTCAGGAGCCCCGACCGGCACCCACTTAAAGGAAGACAACTCTCACTGGCACCTGCACGCTCACTACTACCCTCCTCTGCTGCGTTCAGCTACGGTTAAGAAGTTCATGGTGGGGTATGAGATGCTCGCTCAGGAGCAAAGGGACCTGACCCCTGAACAGGTGAGTAAGGTAACATACACATGTGACTGACTCTGCAATATACAGTACATATTATAAATAAATACATACTTATATCAAGTTTAATTTACTGTTTCTTCCATACGTTCCGTCTCAATTGAGCATGTTAACACTTAAGTCACATATCATGCATCAAGTTGTGTGTTTATCCAGTGCTTTATGCAGGAAGGGAGCAGGTGAAATGTAAGTCATACCTTAAATACCAGCTTTAGCAATTAAACTTGTGACCTTGAGTATGGGGTTCTCTCTTAATTTTGTGTTATTCATGTCTTAATTCCACTGATTTAAATTTTAGATATGATGTTAGGGGAATTTGTTTTCATCCCAAGCCATCAAATGCCCATCATTAAAAGCTGACCCTTTTACCCTCTTACAAATTATAATGGAAAACCAGAATTGCAGTGGATCCGCTCTCTGTCCCTGCATTTGTCTGTAAAACTGTATAAAAGCTTGGCCCTGCTGTGTTCTTTAAATTTTAGGCTGCTGAGAAGCTAAGGAACCTCCCAGAAGAGCACTATAAAACCAGAGAGAACCAGGAAAAAGAAGGAGGAAATGAGAAAGAAGGTTGAGGAAAACAGAAGTCAGAGTGAAATGACCTGTGTGATGATTAGAGGAGAGGTTGAAAATTGAAGGGTTTTGGAACAAAACAACTTCTCTGAACTGGTGCAACATGTAAAAGTGCCTTTCTGAACACAGGGCTCTGAGATATTTTTACTTGCACAATATAAATTATATGTATATATTTTGAATACATTTCTGTATACACAAAGCTGGTACTGGGTTTCTTTCTGCAAATTATAAAATGGACTTCAAACAAAATGTGCTATGAAACCCATCCTCCATGTTTTAGGGAGATAATGAGAGAACATTATTCTTTTCTTCTCTGCTGTCCCTTCTGCTTGAATTTAAACAAACTTTGTTTGTTGTTTGGTTATGTTGGAAACCTTTCAACCACGAAGCTTTCTCTTCCAACAACACAACAAATTATTTGTGATTCAAATGAATGCTTTTGTTTCTTGTAAATGTTTTTACATGGAAAGTAATTCTTGAATTAGTTTGACAGCTCTCAGCCTCAAACATGTGACAGTGTAATTCTTAATTTTATATAGAAAATAAATGATTTAACAGATGCGATGTCTTCTCTTTATGTTAACAGTCAGTATTATTCTGAATTAACATCAACTTTACTTAATGGCATTCTCATTCAGCCCTCCAGCAGTGCTTTTGGACATGAGGATCACCATATTCAGTGTTTTAAATGTTTAAAACATATTGATAATAAAGTTGAATTAAATACGGAATATAACTGTATAATGTTTGGTATACTTTGGTACACAACTGCACTGACAGATGTGTTTATTACACTTATTAGACTCTACACCTACCAATGCTGATGCAAATGTTTTCCAAATAAGATGAGGGGTAGGGAATAGCTAATTAATAAATGAGGGAGTGATTTGGGACAAAGAATGGTTTTGAATATTTCAGCACCACGGAGAGAGACACAGAGCCTGGGTTTCAGTGTTTCAGCACCACAAAGAGAGACTGAAAGAGACCTGAGGTGAATGTTCACATTTATTTCAAGTGTATCTTAATATAATAATGGTAGGTTCATGCTCATACGAGCACTAAAAGGGTTATTGGTTGCTGTAATTGTTTTCTTTGTCAATGCTAGCCATGTTTTGGGACAAAATCTGCAGTCCTCGTCCTTCAGTTGAACAGACATTGTTGCTTAATGGACCACAGCAGAGGAACAGTAACACAAACACAAACAAGAATCAAAACTTTGAAAGACATCAACTAGGTTTTGCTGAACTGTATTTTTACAAAGAACAGGGATTTTATCCCACACCTCTAACATCATAATAGCTTTAAGAAAGGACACATTTGTTACCAATATGAGCAATAATTTATTATTTACAATAAACAACAAAATATTTCAGTGTACATATGGGTATGTGAGTAGTTTGACTCCTTTAATAACACTACCAATGAAGAATTGCTTGAGGTCAGGAAGCATGGATAGGCAACATCACAAGGTTGTAAACCAGCTGAAGAGTTAGTTTCCACTGGTGGGAGGATGTTTTCAGTTCACATAGCCAACAGCTGGAAGACAAGCAATGATGGAGTCTGGTTTAGACTTACTGTCTCAGTAACAGGACTGTACCTGTCACCCTCATGGAGTGCTTTAGTGTGTCAGATTCATCAAGTATTAAACAGAGAAATATGGATTCCACATATGTTGTCTTTACATTTGTTCTACATGGTTGTGTACATTCAATGTTCATTCTCATTATGTTATGATAATTAACTACGAAATATAAAATTAGAATATGAAATTTTTTTTAAATATAAATACAGTGGTAACAAATACAAAGCTTAAAGGGATCACTGAGAGCCCTTATCCTGACCTGCTGGTGAGGCTGTGGGCAGTGAGCAAGAGGATTCATGTAGATTACTGAATGTGCACTTTAGGCGATTATAAACCATGCAAATTAACATGGCAAGTTCATTCTTGACAATAAATGAAATAAGATGTGCTCTCACTATGATGACAGCAGATGGTAGTGTTGCTTAAAAAGTGAGAAAGATGACCTGGATTTATACTGAGAAGCTGACTGCTTTAGCCTCTACCTGTACCACTGAATTCTCTTTTTCTTTCATCAGCTGAAGTAAAAGCTTCTCTACAGACTTGTAAACTTTTCACCCTCAGTACAGAGATCAGGGTCAATAATGCCCCTAAAGCAAATAGGTGGTTAGTATTGTGCTTAAGGACACTTCGCCTTCACTATTATGAGGCACTAGTTTGTGTCCTGGAGCGTACAAATGGGCTTTATAGCTATAAAAAAACCACACTGCTGCGCCCATTAATTGTCAGTGTCAACGTTCAGAGTTCAACTTCATAAACACATGGTTATGGTGTCACTACATGACCTGCTCCTCCTTACTTCCTGAACATTATTGCCTTTTTTATAGAGATAATAGTCCATGTTGTGTTACAGCAGTGCCTGATAATGGGTAATTAATAAATTAAAAACACTCAAATGGATACACGGAGTGCTGTTAGAAAACTGTAATTCCATGATCAGGTTGCAGAAAGCGAGTATGTGTGTGCCTTAGTAAGCAGACATGAGACTGGGTGATTACAAAAGCAGCAGGGGAAAATAATTGGTTCAGCCAGGGCATGAGAAGCCAGTGATTCATTCAGTTTATCAGCAAATTCTTATTTCATTAGACTGAAATGTGTTTGATGTATGACATTCAAAGAAATAGGGGCACACAAAGTTAACAGGTCATTTTAGAGTAAGGTTTGGGGTTAGGCATGTAGTAATAGCTGCGGGTAGTTTTGGGGCAAAAAAAATTATCAACGAGTGACACATACAAGTACAAACTTGTATGTGTCTTACTCAAACTATCCCAGTTTTAGCTCATACTTCCAGCCAAAATCAGTTTGTAGAAGCTCTTTGTGTTGACTCAGGGCACGGAAAGGTGTCGGATCAGTGAACTGGTCCTGAAACTAAAAACAGTTCACACAGTCCCATGTAAAATTATCAATTACAACTTATCTCTCCTATTAACCTCCTCAGCTCTGTCTGTTACCAGTCCATCCAAAGCACTGAGTAACCGGTAGGCGAGGCTACTGTAAACACTGTGGATTTGGAGTAGATGAGAGAGAATGCCTGTACGTTCAATGCACATAAGCACATAGATTAATACACTCCATCTTGACCAGTATATATCTTTTTTGTTAGAGTTTATTAAAAGCCAATGCTGATTTGACAGTGGAGAGGTTTTTAGTGAATAGGTGGATACTGCTATACAAACTGCTATTGTTAGCCATGCTGGATACTGCAGGTCATGTTTTCAACTCTTCCCATAGTAGCAGATTGTCATCTACAGAACAATTGTGCCCACGTGATGGTGGCCAGTCACTTATTTCTCAATTTCAAGTCAAGTCAGGAGGTAGGGTTTCTGCTGTTGTCAGTTTTCTATAAATACTGGGTTATGTTTATCCCCTCTTGACAGATGAATATGAAACTAAAGCGCTTCTGCCTTCTTGTTTCTTAGAGTTGCATCATGTAGTTTAACCATTGACTCAATTCTGGCCCCCCCAACCCATTTTCATATTTAATCAAGGTGGATTTTACTTTTATCACACAACTAATTGGCCAGATCTGACTCTTCTCAGCTGATTTAAATGTCTCAGACCGCGCCCTGTATGTGCAGTGCTCGACCTGAACTGCGATTTCGTCTACATCCTTCATCCATCACTCAACTCTGTCTTAAATTTAGAAGGGAGTACATCATCTACATAACCAACAATTGTTTAGTGGATTTGGGATATTTGTGTACTGTTACTTGGATGCTCTCAAAAGTACGACGGAGTATTAGGGTTGGACTAAGAGAAAAAAATATAATTATTTTTTTTGGGGGGGAAATTACGAGAATAAAGTCATAATATTAGGTCTACGAAAATAAAGTTGTAACATTCCGACTTTTTTCTCATAAGTCGTAATAATACGAGAATAATGTAATAATAATACAAGAAAAAAAAGTATTTTTAATGAGAAAAAAGCTTTGATAGAGTTATCAAGATCTGACGTGACCAGTTCAACCAATCAGCAGCCTCAGCCTGAGCCCAGCAGCCGCTGTTTGTCTCAGTCAAAAGAAGGAAAATAAAATATTTATATTTTTTTTTCGTTAAACAGTTTTGCTGGTGAGCCAACAGGGTGACAGTTCTCATAAACACTTTATCAAATATATTACTTTTTCTTGTAATATAGCTTTTTTTTTTTTTATTTTTTTTTTTTTTCTTGTAATGTTACGACTTTATTCTCTTAGGCCTAGTATTATGACTTTATTAAAAAAAAAAACATAACAAAAGGACATAACAAGAATAGAAAAAGAAAACCAGCAAGTCTTGTTTTTTATAACTGCATTTTACTTTGCTGCTTTGAATGAACACATTTATTTAATTTTACACATGCTGTGTAGCGTTTTTGTCAGCCTCCTTTTTGTTATCCATTAGGGTTTCCACTTGGGTTTCTAGTGGGCTACAGACTAACTGTAAGTTGCCACCAACATAACACTGTTGCATTTACAGAAGAGAAAGCAGAATCAGATCTGGCAATATCATTGTTTATTAGAAAGAATTTCCCTCAGACATTACCATATGTCTTTTTTATTCATACCAAGCTATTCCCTCTCAGGTAAAAACTTTTTTTGCAGTATTTCAGCATTGTTTGGGGGGTGAGGGGGCCCTGAATTTCCAACATACACATAGAAAAGAAGAAGTGCACTTAATTCATTATTTAGGCTATACTTCTTCCAGTGAAGCTCAATCTCAGTTTCTCCATGAATATTAATATTGATTCCAGGATTTGTTAAAATATACGGCTCAACAGTGACAATGTGCAGGCATAGTTTACAGACCGGGAGGGCATGGATGTTGGTGAGACAGTATGTGTGAGTGTATAACCCTTTTTATGTACTGTGACAGACCTCATTCATTCAGGTCAATATTTATCCAGTCCTCCAGGCTCACCGTGGATCCTCTTCTCATCTATTTCATCACTCCTTCGAGACTCTGCGTTTGTGTGTGTATTCAAGATATATCTCCACATAGATAGCGGGGAATGTGTGTATGTTTGTGAGTGTGTTTGTGTGTAACCCCTGTGTATCTCCTCCCTAGCAGAGGAAGGAAGATAGTTTGGCTCCTTTGCCAAATTCTTGTTGCTTGTCTTTTCCAGCACTGTTTTGGTAGAGAATTGTTCTCCCAGTGCAGCTGATGATGCCAAATGTGCTTTATGAAATCTGATTAGTATAAAATTTGCATGTCCTCATTGTGATAACATGTTGTGCAGTTTAAAAAAAAGCTATGGAAGGCAAGTTATTTTAACATTCAACAAATGATCACAGAGGGAGGACACGATATCATGAACACCTGTATGAATGCCTACAATACAATACACCACAACACAACAACTTGTGGAGTATAATATGGTGTGTATAGTGATAATTATGGTTTGAATGAAAGACAAAGTCATGAGACAGATATGGTTTGCGTTATATTATAATTTGAAGATGTTTTCGGAAAAATTATTTTGTCATTTTGTTCCTTTTATGGTG